GAAAGGAAAGCCCAGGACAGAGATGGCTGGAGAACTCTTGTTAGTGGCCTATGCCCCAGGAGGTGCACTAAGCATAAGTAAGTATATATAGAGACAGGCAGTTCCACATTGGAAAAGAAGTGCTGTCTCATAAAAAACCTTACCTATAGCCTTGAATGAAATGCAATGAAAAACGTTTGTGAGCATCAAGAACTGGGTGTGAGGGAAAGGGAGGGGGGAGAGTACTCTATGATTTGTTGGGCAGGAGTGTCCTCTGTGACCCAAGAACCCTTAACTTTTACCACTCCATGTTCTGCTGCAATTTTGCCACCCTAGCTATTCTGGACTTATGTCTTTGTAATATGTGTGCAAAAAAAAGCCAACGGAAAAAAATCTACACTTTGTGAGTTAAGTGCGACCCTGTATGGTACAAACCCGGCTTGTTTTAACAGCATTTAATAATACACCAGTAATTGGAAGTTCATCAATATGTTTCATCTCTAGATTACCTAATCCACAAGTCTGGCCATAGGTCTCCTTTGATTCCTTTGGTTTAGGTGTTATAAAATCACATCACTCTATAGAAACAAGGTATTTTAGCAGTCCAAATAGATTTAAGGAAATTTAGTTTGATGCAGCCTACAGAACTATCTGTTTACTTGTTTTGATTAAAAGCAACACAAACGACATTTCCTTTCCTTTTCACATCTCACATGATTTCAACCTTTCATAGCATGTGACAACATTTGACAACATGTGAATTCTGAAATTCTTGATTTGTCTCACTTTGGAAACCTCCACAAGGTTAAAAATCGTTGGTCACTTAGGGTCACTTTGGTAGAAACTTTCATTTGAACGTTTTTAGAATGGTAATATTTATCATAGATAGCAATTTCTCCAGCATAATTGTGTCTATGAATGAATTTATTTACACCATCTGAACCGCATTTTCAGAAGGCTTGTAACGCTGATTTTAAAATATCATAGAATAGTGCTCTGCTGATGAACAATGAATCAATAAAGATGTAATATCAAGGTTGCTTACCTCAAATAATCACAACATCTTGGTGAAAAACGAAGTCAAAGGAACTCAAACTCCTCATGTGTCTTTCGAAGAAGGAGCCAAGTTGCCAAATCGAATAACGGAAAGGACTCTGGGAAGGGCTTCATTCCTCTGATTTTGAGCTGAAGCCGGTGTATTTCTACTGCGTGACAGATACTTTGCGTAACACCTCTTTTGTTGCTGCTGAACTTTTCTTCCATTGGGTCAAGGTGATCGTCTGAAATATTTCAAAGTCATTGTTAAGGAATGGAGAAAACTTTGCTCATTGTATCTTGCATAAAATTATAGCTCCGACGAATGGAATGTATCTGTCGCATCGACAAACTTGTATGATTGCAACATGATTTTGTGAAATGTTTGTCAGTTGTAGTAGTATATATGCAATTGAGGAATCGACAATTGCGCTTGTCAGATCTTGCATAAAATTCTCCATTACACGAAAGTTGTGAATTGGTGGTATGGAGAAATTTCTATGGGGGTAAAGCGATGTCATGAAATAACCCATATGTTAATGAAGCAAACTCTATCGGTTTTTGTGTTCAGACCATCTGTTTGTTGAAAACTAAGAAAAATCAATATAAAGAAGTTTGTGTTATTGTTCAAAATTGTTTACAGGGCATTCGCCAGTGTGTCATTATAGTTTGTTTTGTGTGTTAAGCAGAAATATGTCGGTCTTTTCTTCAATTCATTCGCAGCTGTCAGTAATGTAACCAACAAACGTCACTAATGAGAATAGCACATTGCCACAAAATACTTTAACCTATTTTTTTAAAGTTCTTCAA